CCAAAAAAGATGAGTTGGGGATTTCAGATCACAATAGAGATGTTTATCTCAAGGGGCAATGATGTGTTGGACATCTTAAGGAGAAAACTCTCATCAATATATCACTATGATTATTAGGCTGGGGATTTGACCAGCTTTAAATGACATAGTTCATGATCATAAATAAATAGAACACCATGCTATTCAGGTTTGTTCATTTATCAAATGAATGTTCTTGAAAGTGTTCAGGTTTATTTGATTAGTTATTTTGATGAACATGAACAAGTTTTAACAGAGCCGAGTCACAAGTATCTTATTGAGTGTGTTGGCTCTTTCACAACCTTGCACTTAAAATATTCTTAGAGCATATCAGGCATGCGACCCTCAAAAGGAAGAGGTTTGATAAAAGGCTTATTAATATGGATACTGAAGTACAATAGGGATTTTGGCTTAGCAGGATAGATACCTAATATAGATGGTTTATTCGTTGGGTTAGACATATTTAATTGTGACTATTTTTTCTGTGTTTGGAAAAAGATTTTAGATCATCTTTAAAAACTTTTTTTTATAAATATCTCAAGATTGTTAACTTTTTCATCTATGATTAATTTATCAACAATCTTGTTAGTTCTTTCATCCATGCTAAGTTTAAACTCTTTAAATCTTCTTTTATCAAAATTAGAAAGATTTTCTAATTGGTGAGAAGATTGGATATATTTTATGCTCCATTGGGATATATTTAGATTTTAAATTATTTGCATATCTACCCTTTGTTAGAGTTTTCATATTAAGACTTTGTTTTCTTTCAAAGAACTCAGTCCAATGTAGTTTTTATTTTTTTCTATCGACTTTAATTTTGCATAGTTAGTACTCTGATATTCTTCTGCATTTTACCGATTAAAGTAAATTGTCAATTATTATAGTAAATCTAAAAATTCTAATTTTTGGGTATTTATTGAAGCCAATTGAATGCATGATTGCAAATATATGACATGTAATGAAGTGTTTTTTAAGAATATGAGAATGGTAATATGAAAAGATAGAAGAAAAAAATTAATGATTTTAATAATGCTTTATTAAATAAACTTTTATGTTATTATGGGTTTGTGATGGATCACTTTAGTTATAAGTTTTTGTTGGATAGTTTAGGTTTTGTTGATAACTTTCTTTTAGTTTTACAAATACACTCACCCACTATGCATTTTTTTTTAATTTGCAAAATTGATTATATGAGAAAAATAATATTTATTTAACAATGAAATGCAATTGCATGAATTTTTTTTATTGGAATCGTTAAGGATTTGTTATCAACCATTTTTTATAAGTAAATGTAATATGCATAAAATTAACTAATTATATGCATAAAATTAACTAATTATGACTAATTATGAGTAAACTTCAAGAGAATATTGCTTTAATTTTTTTGTTTTAAATACATTCTTCAGGTTACTTGTAATATTTTTTTGTGAATTGTGCTCTTATATTTCATTGAACTGTCATCTATTAATATTAACGGGGTGGGATATGTTTTAAATTAGGACTAGCTTAGCTTTTATGTGCTATTTAATCTTAGAATTGCTAACTCTCCAATTTCCTAATTTTTTCTGCACAAATCTCTACCAAAACAAATAAATTTAATAACAAAGGAAAAGAGTTATTACAACTTGGATATCAAGCTATGTTCATGAAGTCTAATGTATTCTTCTTTTGACAAAAAAGTAATTTGTTGGTGAAGAACTTTGATAGAGAGTTTCCATGGTGAGGATGTTTTTTGTACTAATATTGGTGCCTCTCTAGATGTATTAGCGCCTCTTCTTTGAGGCAAAGGCTGAGTGGATTCGGATTATTTTATCTTTGATAGCAAGTGATCAAGTTGTTTTTAGGAGGTTTTCTATGGATGTTGGAATGGTGGTGGAAGTTTTTCAGTTTTCAGAGGTCCATGCCCATGAAAAATGTTGACAGGTTAGTATTTTTGGACTATTTTTTGTTCACTGAAATTTTATTAGTGGAAAGTTGGATTTTCCTTGATGGAAAAAGGTGAAAACATCCAAATCAAAGGTTTGGATGCTAGCTGAGAAACGTTGGTGATTTTGTCAGCAGGGTGTGATTAGAAGTAAACAAATTTTTTAAATGGACTTATCAAAACTAGTGGACAATATGAGCTAGGATTTTGTGGAAGGGGTTTTACTCGATTTTTGTTAGGTGTAAAGTGATTTATGGCTTTGGGAAGGCTGTGTTGATGTAGTAGAACAAAAAATATGGGAGAAAAAGATATATTATGATCTACAAATCTTAAATATAGTTGATTCACATTTCAATTCAAAAGTTGTAGCACCGAATCCTGGTGGACACAAGCTTTTACAAAAGTTTAAAGCTATTTTTAGTGAATTAATGGGATATAAATAGTACATGAAGTCTTGTTGAGGAGAAAAGCTCCTAAGAAATTATGCCAAAATCTCTTATTATAAGTTTATTCATATGCTATATTGATAGCCTATGTCAAGTGCTCTCTATATTTGGAAATAAATGACACCACTCTAATTTTAAGGATTTAATCAAGCATTTAATGCTTTAGTTGAATTTTGAATGTAGGTTGATTTATATGTTTATATGATATAATTTTGAGCGATTTACACACATAGCACCTAATACATTGGGATTTACACGACACACCCAAACTTTCGTATTACAAAAAAAAAAAAAAAGAAAAAAACCTAAAATCTTTTGAAAACCTCAAATATAACAATCTTCTCTTTTATAATCTCGTCATCTCCTTGACAAACAGTTGCTTTGTTGGTTCGCTATCGAAGCCGCAATGAGCCCTCCAAGATGCTTCAAATGGTCGACAATTCAATCGTCGATGATGCCATCTGGTGGAATGATGAAAATATAGATCCATAGTGAGTTTAAACACCAATCTAAGCTCTTGAGCCTCTGCAAGGCATATTTGTCTATTCCTCCGCTTAGCCATCTCTTACTGAATCCCGCCGCTCCCCACATAACTTCTGCAAACCTCGCCTTGGCCACCACCATGATCTCAACTGTGGCAATTCCAGGTTCGTCGACCCCCACATTCTCTCTACGACCACCAAATTTACTAATCACTCGATCTCCCCACTTCCAAACCGAAATCCGTCCTTTGCTCACTCCTCAACCCTGCATGCATCGATTTAGACTCCCTTCTCACTGATCTTCTCGACATCATTGAGGCACTTGACTTCCATATGCGCCCCATCACTGCACTCGCCATTTTTGATAGTGCTTGGAGTGCTCTCATGGAGACATTCTTCTCATCTTTCGCTTTTATTCCTATATTTATTAGTATTATGGGCCTCCACGAACAACTCTCTGCCATTGCTACCCCTCTCGATGATTTATGTTGTCAGTATTGCACGCCTACCATTCCCTAATGATTACCTAAGCCCAAAAAGAGGGTTATTGCGCCGTTGTTTCTATGTTCCAGTGAATTGATGAGGAGGATATTAAGCCAACACTTGTAACGTATAATATTGCACTGAATATTTATGACAAACTCTTCATTCCCCAATACAAAATCATCTCTCTTATTCAAGTCATAAAGAGGGATGGGATTGCTCCTGATAGGTTCACTTACAGTACCCTTATTAGCTGTTGCCATCAGTGATCACTGTGTTTTGACCAACTCGGGAGATTGCTTGGCAGGGTTCCTCATCAGTACTTCCACAACTCCATGAGATTAGAGAACTATGGAGATTGTTTGACGGTTTGTTGTTAGGAGTTACATGATATAACAAAATGTTATGTTTGAGTTGTTAGATATATTATAGCTGTTTTTTTTTCTTAATACTAAACTTTGGGTATGAGATATAAATCTCATGTTTTGGGGGCTATGTATGTAAATTCTTCTAAATTTTTATATGTAAAATATTCTCTTTAAATAATATATAGCAGCCCTCTTTATTTTCTAACATGAAAATATAATAAAAGATTAAAATACAACATCAATTGTCGAACTCTTTTGTCACGGATATGGAGATTGGCTCTCAGCATGTCCCTCCTCAAGGTCAAATGTTGCATTGCTCAGAATTGTGCAAAAGAATTTGCAAGGCTTTGGCACCTCACATAACTCTTAACATGAATATAGATTATGAGGATTCAGAAGGGCCCTATCCTAAATAGTTGGATTAATCCAAGGATAATGATGATTTTGATTAAGTTGATAATAATAATCTTTTTTCTTGAAAGATCATATGGTACTTAGATTTGATTGTTTCAAGTATCTTGGATCCATTTTACAAAAGGAGTATAGATGATGATATGATCCTTGCGTTCAAGAAGGGGTTGTAGGAGTGCTGTCTTTGGAATGTTTGTGGTGAAGTAATGACATGGGGGTTAAACTTTTATCAAGTTGCATTGGGTTATTTTAGAATCCAAATGTCAGGTCATAGAAGTCGTTGGTATTTTAGCCTATTATGATGGTGAAGAGAATTTTAAGATAGGCGCGTGGAAAATTTTGGAGGGATGGATTGAGAAATAATTATAGTGGAGGGATGGTAAGAGAAGCAAATATTAAATAAAAAATGAAAACTAAATTTAATTGGCTTCTTTATGTATAAGGGAAGGGTAGAACATACACTAATATGATTGGTAGATAACAACGGGGAAAGATTATTTGCTTAGTTTTCTTCCTGTATTTGTTAAATTTGGGAGGATTGGAGCCAAGCAAATACACCCAACTGCTGGAAATAGACCTGTATGGAAGCTTTTGTCAGTTTTGGTGCATCTTTTTTTACTTACGTTAAACCTTTTTACCCGAAAAAAATCCTTTTTATTCTGAAAATGTTGGAATTTGTTTCATTGTCAATAACATACCTTAACAATATTAGAAGTTCACTTAACTGTTACAACATTATTGTTTGGGCTAATTGATTTAAAAAGAACTAAATATTAAACTTTGGGGAAACTCTGGGGCCATCTAAAGCTCTTGTTGTTACTCTGGAGCTGTGTTGCTTCTTAACAGTTGATTTCTTTTTTTTATGTAGGGTGCCCAGGGTTGGAGGAAGACCTCTCAATCTACACCGCCTCTTTGTTGAAGTTACTTCCCATGGTGGACTTCAAAGGGTATGTTTTACATTTTTCTTGAAATTGCGGTTAATTAAAAAAAACTTTGATAAAGTCTTCCAAAAAAAAAAAAAAAAAAGGAAAAGAAGATTTTTTACTTGTGCTGTTGTGCCTGTTTACTTTCTCCGGGCTTCCAGGTTTACCTGGTAACAAGGGAGGGAGGTAGGAAGGATGAAAAATGCTTTGGTTACAACTACGAGTTTCAAGAGACAACAAACACCTTTTATTGCTCTTATTCTTCTCCTTTTTTGAAAAAAACCCAGTATTGTTTGCTCATGAAAATTTTTTAGTGTTGGATCTTAATGCTTTCATGATAAGTTGACGAAGCATTGAATATGCTACAAAGAATGAGGCTTAAATCAAATCTTCACTTTTTTCCTTGTTTATCAAACCAAGCAATTCATCACACTCCAAATAGTGTGAAATGCACCATGTTAACTTTCAGTTGTTTTGGAAGATCTGGCATCATGAAAGCCAAATGTTTGCATTCTGAACCATGCTTTTCGAAAATAAGAAAAATATGCAATAATTACATGATTTAATGGTCTCGGTCTCTAAGATGGATGAAGATTGTATTTTCACAATGCTGAAGATGAATGTATTTGATCATCCGCTGATACTCCGATTCTCAGTATTGAACATTAAACTAATGATGACACTAAAGTACCAACCAACCTTCCCAGTATCTTCCCAAAAGTAACTACGGAAGGGAAGAACTTGGAAAGTGACAATGAACCCCACAACACTCTCATGGAACTCTTTGACATTATTAGCTATAACTTGGTTCTTCTTTTGAAAGTTTATCCTTTCTCTTCTTATCTCCATCAAGTTATGATGGGCCCATATAAATTGTGTTTTGGTAATTTGAGGGCATAGAATGATTGTGGAATTTCTAATGGACGGTTGAGCTGCATTTAATGAAAAAAAAAAAATCAAGCAATGATTTGAATTTTGTTGAAAATTAAATGAGGAATATTAAAAAAAAAAAAGGAAGCTTTTTGTGATGCCAAATTGATGGATGTTGAATGAATATAGTGTAAAGAAAGACGACGAGCATTAAGGTAGTTTTGCATGACAATTTCCAAATATCTTTCCAAAAGCTTAAACTACGGATGGGAAGAACTTGGAAAGTGACAATGAACCCCACACCACCCTCATGGAACTCTTTGGCAATATTAGTTAACTTGGTAGTTCTTTTGAAAGTTTCTCCTTTCTCTTCTTATCTCCATCAAATTTTAATGGGCTCCTATAAATTGTGTTTTGGGAATTTGGGGTCATGGAATGATTGTGGAAGCTCTAATGGATGGTTGAGCTGCATTTAATGAAAATAAATTCAAGAAATGATTGCTATTTTGTTGAAAAATTCAGTAAGGGATGCACAACAAAAAGGAAGTTTTTTGTGATGCCAAATTGATGGATGTTGATTGAATGAATGTAGTGCAAAGAAAGAAAAGGAGAATAAAGATAATTCTGCATGACAATTTAGAGTGGTGCCACATAATAACTTTGAATAGAAACAGAATGCTCACAATTGGCCTCAAGGATAGTTTCGTTCAATTGTTACTCAATAATCAATGATTTTGCTATAAATCATCTATCTCATTTACAAAATAGATTTGCAAATGTAAGACCAAGAACTTTAAAATAAAATATAATTCTATCCAAAATATAATCTAATTCTTTTAAATCATTCCAAATTCAAATATGAGATTATGCAAAAAATGAAAATTCATCCTTATAAAAAAATGAAAATTATGAAGACCACAATTAAATGTGATGCTGACTCCTTGTATTTGTCTTATGATAGATCAAGAATTTTGTGGGTTAATTAGATTAAATAATCAACCAACATGGTATTATATCAAAAATATACTATTATCTTCCCCAATGTTTGATGAAGTTTAACAATATAATACTGTTTAATCTTAAAAGTTATCTTCTCTTATATTTTGATCCTTTGAGCAAGATTGTATGATTTTTTAACCTCATATTTTGTGTTTTTTTATTTTGTTTACACGTATTCCTTCTTGTTGCTCATTCATTTTCTTTTCATCGAACACATGATTACATTGGCAGAGGAAATCCTATATATTAAAATCACACCTAAAGTGATTATTCACCCATAGGATTGTCTTTATGAGTTGATAGTCTTCTAATAGATTTAGTCATAACTATTTGATTTCTATAAAGATATCCATGAATCATTAAAGTTGTATTGTTCTTTTCACTTTCTAAATTTGTTTTGGGTATCCATCATTAATAATTGGTTTGATTTCATTACCAGTGATAGGTTTACGAAGAGTCAGAGTTATTGTCTTGAAATATACAATGATGTGGAAAAAGAGAAAATTGAATTCATGGCATTTGCTTGATGTTTAATGATATAAAATCAATTTTAACTTATAAAAATTTATACAAATTTTTTTTTTGGAATTTCTAGTTTATTTGTATTTATTTCAATTTTTTTTGTGTAACTTTTTATCGTGTTTTTATATCAGCTAGTTTCTTTTCTGTTTTTGGGGAAAATCTTTTAGAACTTAGACGGGTCACGATTATCCTTTATGTTAGCACTATTCTCGTTCCATCATGCAATGTTTAAGCGCGCGGCCCAGAGAAAAGTGAACACATTTTCATAATTTTCCTTGGTATTTAAATGTCAGATGATGAAGCTTTGACATCATGGGTTTTGATGCAAAGAGTAGTTTCATGAGTGTCAAAAGAATTGGTGGTGCCTTCGTTAATAAGGCTAATGATTGTTGATTTGATTAGACCGTTCTCTTATTATTGGGACCATGATGGTTGAAGGCCTAGGAATTACGGAGGCCTTTCTAGAAGCAGCCTCAATGACCTTATTGGCTATCTTGATGAAATGTCGCCTTTGCATTTTATTAACGATTACATTAAGCCTTCTATCTCTAGTTGGGAAATTGGGTATGGTGTTCAGCACTACAACTTTTTAGTGGCGCTTTTTTTGGCCAGTGCAGCTTCATTAGTCTGAGTGGTGGGAGTCAAACCTCAATTTGCAGAGACAGTGCCAAATTAGAGTAACTCAAAACATTTGTGGTGGGGTTGAACATTTTGATAACTTAGATGGACCATTTATTGAACCTTCTCCAAATTTTATGATCATATTTTGTTTGCAGAAACATTGGCTTTGTGGTTTTCTTTAATTTCTAAGGTAATGGCCATGGCTTTGTGGCATTCTTTAGTTCTTGAGGAAATACCAACCAAAGCTAGGGTTATTTTAATTTGGAACACTAATCTCTAAACTTTGGTGGTAAATGAATAATTTATAGGTGATAGACTCTGTCACATGGCATGATGCAGCATATTTGATTTAGCATTATCGTATGTGTTTGTTGAACGGAGCCATATAGTGACCATTGAGCAACTAATCTAGTGATGGGAAGAATAGTCTTCTTTGGTGGATTCACTATAAAGCTAATTGTCCGGAAAAGCTAACCCCTTTTCATTTGAACCTCTTTGATATGCAGATGGGGGAGGACTAAAGTAATTTTAATTGAGGTGAATTAATTTTAGTTTAATTTTTTTTCCTTGATGTTATATCAATGTTTATTTTGATTTAATGTTGAGATTTTTATGGTTACAAGCTTTCCTGTAGTGATTATCTCTTTTGCTTGCTGGAAACACTTGTTTATGTTATTGTCTTAGCTTCAAATTTTGGTAAATGTGACTTTATTTGAGTAGAGAATGGTTGGACGGATGGATATAAACCTAATAAAAATCCTATAGTTATGTCATCTCAAGTATACCAATGTATCTAATTTACTAATGTCAAAGGGTTGTAAGTTGTAATTTTTATTAAATATGATTAGCTTTCATAGATTTTCTCTTCTCAGATTTCTAAAGCATGTCAAGGAGAAAATGTGGATGAAAGATGTGCTATTGGCAAATCTTGCTTAGATGATTAATTATGCATTAATGTACAAGTTCTAAATGACTATTGATTTAAAACGACAACATTGGAGACTCACATGATTTGGTTTATATTCTTCAAAATAACTCTTCAGCTTGCAGGCCTTTCTCTGCTCTCTCCTACAACTGCTAGAGCCTCTTCAGCAGCTGTCGAACCCGTTCAACAGCCGAAATCACAACTGTATCGGTTCTTGTCATCGACTTTCCAATGAGCGTGAATCGAAATTTTCTCGCATCACTGTAGGTCGTGATCCTATCATTTTCGTCTAGACCGTTGTCTGTATCAAAATTTTTCGATCAAATGCTCTATATCATGTCATTGCAAGCCGCAATACCGTCATTTGTGTCCAGATCCTCTAATTCCTATAAGTGATCCATCTTCCCAGGTGCAATCCTTGTTGGTGTTCCTTCTCTACAGTTGTTACTCTTGTTCCCCTTCAGGCATTTTCTTCGATCGAATCCGGCCTCCAAATGCAAGGAGCAACCACCTCCCAACCTTCCTGTCAGAAACCTAGTTGTTCCTTCCTGCGCTAGTGAAGAGCCGGAGGCAGCGGACAGTCAACCACAGGTTCTATTTGGTAGTAGCAACAGCCCCTTATGCAGAGGGCTTATGACCATGTACGAGATGAAGATGTCTAATTCTATGATGGAGGTTTAGCTTTGAATCAGAGATCAAGAATTATGCTCAAATGACCCCAAAATCCTCACTTTATCACAAACCATAAATTCATCAGCTATAACTTTATTCAATGGTCCCAATTCATGTTTATGTTCATTTTTGGCAAAGGAAAAGAGGAACATCTCATGGTAGAGGACACAGTTCCTGCGCTCATTGAACCTAACCATTGCTCATGGAAGATCCATGATCCTATATTCATGGCTTGGTTGATCAATTCTATAGTCATAAAAAGTGGAGAAAATTTCTTACTATATAAGTCAATACATGAGATTTGGGAAGCAACTCGTGAAACTTATTCCAATACTGAAAACACTGCAGAATTGTTTTATTGAGAAAAAATTACATGAACCCCAACAAGAAGAGTTATGTGTGACTCAATATTTCA